TGAGTAAAAATATCTAATATTTCAAAACTAGTAATATAATTAGAAAATAGCTCACTATTGTTAAATCTAAAGCTAGGGACTTAACCAATCAAATCGATAAATAGTATATCAGGTGATTATACTAAATTTTAATTAAAATTAATTCTAACTTTCGTAATGTAAAAAATACTTATAGGAAAATTCTGGAATAAGATGCTGATCATTACCTAATCAAAGTGTGACCAACAGACAAAGTATCACTTCATTATACTTCAGAAAATTAGAATTTATTTTGAAACAATAAGATTTATTTATTTAATTATTTAATCACCAATTTATTAATATTAAATTTAAATAATAATTGTTCTTGCTTTAATTATTCTTTTATTATTTAGATTTTATAATGTAAAAGGTTTCTGAGAGGTATATAAGCTTGATATAATTCAATATTAATCAGGTAATTTAGAAGAATAAAAATTCTTTAGAAAGATTCTTTTAAAATTACAAGACAGAGATTGCAGCCTAGATAATTAGAAAAAACTCAGTATATACTTTAAAGGAAAATTAAACAAGATAAAATACAATAGATTTTTGGATGCCGTATTCATCCTTACTACTTGTGATAATGTAGATAGAGTCAATATAGATATGCTAAGATCATTAAACTGTCTAGTAGCTAAGATTCTTGTAGTTCATGATGGAGGTCTTGAGGTCTAAAAAGCTGACTCAGACGTTATAAAAGGACTCAAAACATGTGTCATGTTACAGCTAACATATAGATTGAAGGAGGATTAGTAAATAGATTAATAGAAACTATATACGATATTATATTTATAGAAACTGGATCTACTTTACTACTAGCAGTAGTTTTTGTAAATTCAATCTTTACAAAGATCTTAGTATTACAACACCAGAAGGGAACAATGTCGTCCTGATCATTTCTATTAAATACACTTGAAAAAGTAATCTAAGAAGTTGTGTTCTCAATTTCAGGTTTCATTATATCTCGCATAGATAATAATGATGCATAAAAGCTAAGGCTTACGTTACTGAAGGCTAAAATAAATCTTAGAAGTCAAGAATTTGCTGCCAGTCTTTAATTTGTTGCAGTATCAAGAGTTCATTCACTTAACAATATTTATTTTAAGCAGTTTACTTATAAAAGATTTCAATAGATTCAGAGTTGCATAAAATTATAAAAAAGGAAAGTCAAAGAAAAATGATTAATTTCTATGATATTGAGAGTGAACAACTGAATTTTTTTTTTAATTTTTTATTTTTTTTTAGTGATTTCACAATTTTATTTTAGTTTAGCAATATAATTTATTTTGAGTTTAATAGTTTAGCAGTACAAAATATAAATAAATAACGTGCTATTTTTACTAATTTAGAATTTGTGCTGATCAATTCAATTATTAAGCAGGAGGAATGCAAACATTTATGTTAAACAGCATATAGAATTATATAATCCTTTGCTATGCTTTAGACTAATTATTATATATTAAATATTATTACTAACTTTAATATGTGATATTCTAATAAATTATAAAAAAATTAATAAAATCTTTAACTTTATGTAAAGGAAGATTTTTAGATGCTAATTAAAAAATCAATTTTATTACTTAATAATATATTAATAAACTTTATTAATAGTATTATTTATAGCAGTTTTTATTACATTTTTTTTAATTTTCTAATCAAAAAGCTTTTTCATATTACTTGATACTAGTATATTCTAATTTTAAAATTTTTTGATTCTATATATTAATGAAAATAATTAAATAAATAAATAAATTGTAAAAATACATTAGTTAAACTAGTTCAAATCAGCTAGTAATCAGATGGCTGATTTTAAGCTGATTTTAATATTATTTATGATTGATTTATTATATTTCTGATTAACACAAATACATGCTGATTGATGCTGATTGACTCTAATTAAATATAATTATTTAGTATTAATTCAGAACTTAAATTCAATTATAAAACAGCTTAAAATTGACCTTAATTTAATATTAATTTAACATTAATTCAAAATTTAAATTTTATCATAAATCAGCCTAAAATACAACTAATTAACTCCAGTTAGATAAGCAATTTAGCATTAATTCTGAACTTAAATAACTATAAATTAGCCTTAATTTAGCTTTAATTTAATATTAATTCAGTAATAAATCAGTCTAAAATATCACTAATTAATACTAATTAACTTTAATCAGAATAGTAATTCAACATTAATTTACAGTACATTTAAATTTAATTAAATTTATTAAATATTAAAATTTTATTAATAATAAAAACCTAATATAAATTCATAAATATATAATAAAATATTACTAAAACTTATTGATTAATTTTCTATTTAAAAAATATAAGTAAAAAGACAGAAAAACTATGTAAAATAATAATAATAAAATAAAAAAACAATCTATTTTTCTTCTAAATTCTCTTAAATCATCTTAAATATTTATTATTATAATATTACCATTTTTAAAAAAAAAAATAATAATAAAAATATGATTTATTTTTCTTCTAAAATTCTGAAATTGTCTAATAAACATAAATAATAATAAATAAAATAAAAAAAATCTATTCTTTCTTATAAACTCACCTAAAATTTATTTTTTTATTATAAATATAAAAAAAAAATAGTTTATTAATTGATAAAATTTAACTTAAATTTTATTTAATTTTGATAATTAGAGGTGATTTTATTATTTGTTTCTATTATAGAAAGCAGTTTATTATTTAAAAAGTTAACTAGTTGATTAATAAAATTTAACTTAAGTTTTAGCTTTTTTATCTGATTTTGATAATTTAAGGTATTTTTTTATTATAAAAAAAAATCAGTTTATTATTTAAAAAATTGACTATAGAATTAATGAAATTTAACTTAAATTCTTTTTTTTTTTTTGAAATAAATTTTTTGGTAATATATAAAAAAGAAAAAATTTAGAAAAATAAATTTAATTATAAAAAATAAAATTTGAATTGAAATTATTTTTTAAAAAGTGAAAAAATTAAGCTTATTTGATATATACTAAAAATAAACTCAAAATAATATATTAAATTAATAAAATTTAAGGTAAATCAGAAATAATTATCAAAATGATTTATTACTATAATATTAATAAAATTGTTCTTTTAATTTGTTAAGTTCTTCAAATATTTAATATTATTTTAGCAAAGAAATGTTAAATTATGAGAAAATTTTGTTTAATCTGAAAGTTTAATTTATTTGAAATGAATTTTATTATTTGAATAAAATAATAATATATCATTTTAAATAAATAATGAGAAAATTATTCTTTTAAAATGATAATATATCATTCTAAAAGAATAATAAAAAAATCATTTGATTAAAATGATTAAATTATTATTTTAAATAAATGATAAGAAAATTATTTAATTAAAATGATTAAATTATTATTCTAAATAAATGAGATAAAAATTATTTAATTAAAATGATTAAATTATTATTCTAAATAAATGAGATAAAAATTATTTAATTGGAATAATTAAATTATCATTTTAAACAATGTTAACATTACTCTATTTGTTAAATAATTTAACTATAATTTGAAGTCAGAGACAATAGTTATAACTTAAATTTAATCAATTTAATATAATATTAGTTAAAAAGTTCATTTGGTTAATAAGAATAAAATTATAAGTTTTTATATTTGCAAAATATTATTATTATTATTGTTATTGAATATATATTAAATATAATATTAAAATCTGTCCTTTTTCAAAGTATTTTTAAACCTTTTTTATAAGAAATTTATAATTAAAGAAAATTAATGACAATAATTATAATTATGATACTATTAATAATAATATTATTATTAATAGATATACTAATAATATTAATTATAAAATAAATAAAATAAATAATAAATATGTTCTATTTAGCAGTTATGTTAATTTTAACAAGTTTGTTAGTTTTAATGAATAATAAAAAAATTATTTTTTTAAAATGATTAAATTATTATTCTAAATAAATGATAAGAAATTATTCATTTAAATTATCATTCTAAATAAATAATTAAATTATCATATTAAAAGAATAATAAAATAATAAAAAATCATTCAATTAGAATAATAATATATCATTTAAATGAATGATACAAATATTGTTTCTTTAGAATGATTCAAATTATTGTTTTAAACAAATGATATAGATATTATTTCTTTAGAATGATTTAAATTATTATTTTAAAAAAATTTAAATAATTGTTCTAAATAAATGATAAAATTATTGTACTTTTAGAATGATTCAAATGAACAATATAAATATTATTTCTTTAGAATAATAAAATATTATTCCTTTAAATAATTCAAAATATTATTTCTTTAGAATATTTAAATTATCATTTCAAACAAATGATAAATTATTATTTTTTTGGAATGATTTAAATTATCATTCTTTTGGAACATAAAAACAAAATATCAGTTATATTTCAATCAGTCATCAATCAACTAAAAATAAGATAGGTTAAATTTTGGTCAAATTTAAGTTAATTCTTAATGTATGCTAATTGGCTAGGATGATTTTTAATAATTTGCCGATTTTAGGGTTGATTTTAAGCCAATTTTTTGCATTTCTAATTTTTTTGATTTTGACCAATAATACATACTTTTTATTACTTTAGAAAATTCATTTTTTGACCATGAGCCATATATAATATACAGAAATTCTATTTTATTTACATAATAAAGTATCTAAGGATATTGATCCTTTCAAGAAAAATGATATGCATTATGTATTTTTCTTTGAAATCCAATTTTTTTTTAGAATTATTAATATGATGAGGTAAAATAGGAGCTTTAGCTTTTTGTTTGTTATTTTTAGACGGAAAAACTACATATTTTTTCAACTTCTTCATTACTAAAATTATTTGCTTCAGTTAAACTTTATTCTAAATTATTATCAGAAATATTACTAAAGAATTTAAATTAATTAAAATAATGATAAAAGTAAATTTAGTTATACTTTTTAAATTTAAACTAGATATTTACTATTCAACTTCAGAACTTTCATCTTGGTCAGAAGAAACCAACTTTACTTCATCTTCGGTCTTCTTAAAAAATTTAAAAAAGACATTATGTATAAAGAAAGTTACAATCATCTATAAAAAAAATCCTGAAATAACTTTACAATATAACGATAATATCGATCAGGATCATTAATTTATAAATGATCTACCGATAAAGTGTTCATACAATAGGTAATTAAAAATATTTTTCCTTAAAACTTGTTTTCTATTGTAACTTTTTTGTACTACAATCAAAACTACCTTTACTCGAGTGCTGCGGGTTGAGCGACGTTCCTTTTTTATTTTTTTAAATTCTTAATAATACAAAAAAGCAATATATACAATAAATTTTATTATAAAGTTTTTATATTAATATAAATAAAATCTATAAATACTGTATTTGTTAAAATATATTAAAAATATATTAATTAGTCTTCGGTTATAAAAAGATTTGATAAAAATGTAAATAACAACTTTTTATGACGCAAGATACGTTACATATGATCCGGCCTGAAAAAAAATTACAGCCAATAAAATCCGGACAAATTTAAATTTTCCGGTTCCGGATTTTTATTTCAAAATCCGGAATTTTGTTATAGAACCGGATATTTATCCGGAATTTTTATATACTAGTTTGACAGGTGAACATTTACTCGTAAGCCATAAATTACTGATGTCCGAAGTCCATTTTCTCGAATGGACGTTTTCCCGAAAACTTCGGGCAGAGTTATGTCAAACTTTTCGGAAAAACGTCCATTCGGGATAATGTCGGACATCGATAAATTACATGCATAAAATGTAATCGCTCTTTTGAAGCGTGAATGTAATGAATTTATTTTTTGTGGTCTAATCGCAAATTAAATAAAATATAAAGTAATGCATGATCATGCATATTTTCTAGCTGTAACTTGTTAGTTTTTTTAGGACCGGGAAAACTTCTAATAGAGTTACCGCCAGTTCGAACCATTTTTAAACGTCAATAACTCTAATGTATGCCAATTTTGAGATGACCCATAAAATTTCTGCAAAATTTAGCGAAAAATTATTTACAAATTCAAAACGCGACGCGATTAGTTACAATGTTAAGATTTTTTTAATTGCTTGCATTAATTAATTGTTTCGCAATTCACCTTATTAAAAAGTAAAACCAACCTCCTTTTTGAGTCCTTCAATAATCTATAAAAAGGAATGAATCTGAGTAAGTACCTCCAGATAATTTCATTCATAAAAAAAAACTCTAACTGCCAACTAAATAAAATAAAAGTAATCATGACTCGAAATTTTATTTTTGTATTCATTTTATTGACTATTTTTACCATTATCAATGCCATACCGTTTCATAAAAGAGCGGCTTTCTTTGGTCCATGTCCTAACGTAGAAGATACATTCTCTGTAAAAATGGACCCTGATCCACTTATTTCTCCACATCTCACAACTTTTACTATTACTGGAGAAGAGGTGACTGGTCGATCTATCGGCCCACTTGACCAACTTGTTGTTACAATAGGTGCTACAGGTCCAGTACAACCTCCCTCTGTATTTCCTGTTTGTAATGCAACTGATTGTCCAATTAATTCCGGAGTCGAGTATTCTACAACAGGCACATTTTTACTAAACGCCACTTTACCTTCAGAATATCAAATTATATTGGCCATTGGAAATTTAAATACTAGTTCACCACAAATGACATTTATAAATGATATAATCCTCGCTTGTGCAATGACTACTATTACGAATAGATAAGATATTGTATAGCATGAAGAGAGAAATCTTATTATAATATTATAATTGATCATTTTAAGAAATGAGATAATAGAAGGTTTAATAATATTATGATTCATGATATAACTTATTAAGAAGGTTATTAACATCGAAAAAATTTTAATCAACTAATTATATATATTCGGATAAATTTAAATGATATATCTAAATTTATAACTAACAATACCGATATATATATATATATTTTAGCTTTAATTATATCAAAGAAGGAAAGTAGTATTTTACATAATATATGGAATAGGATAAATTATTTAAAATGTTAAAAGGGATTTGTATTATATTATTAGTATTGATTATACAAATAGATCTTACAAAATTTAAATGATAAAGGATATTATATTTATAATTTTATGATTTTTTTTTTAATAAATTGAAAATTTTTTTTATCTAATTAAATTATTTTAGATATTGTTTATAGAATGAAACTCAAAAATTACTAGTTATTTTCAAGGTATTTTATTTTAATAAATTACAAATTTTAATAAATAAATTTATTTTATTTAAAAATTTTATTAATAGGTTATACAAAAAGATAATATTGACAAAAATTAATGGAATTTGAAGAATATATTTGATGATAATAGTGACAAGCAAGATTAAAATAATTTAAATTTTGAATTTCACTCATCAAAAAAAGCTTTTTCTGAAAATCAAAATACCACAATTCCCTTAAAAACACTAATCAAAAATGTTAAACCTAAATTTAT